CCCAACCCGTCATTACTTGTCATGTCAACCTTAGCAAAATAATGAATTTTCACAACACGAAAACAAAATTTTAAAAACTTACCAAAGTCATTTGAAACATACTAAGAGCGATAGCTAAACAACTCGTAAAAAACTGACCCAAAATAATAATATTGTACGCTTTGTTGCTATTTTCAGCGAAACTGAAATTTTTAAATTCAAAAAACCAGGAAACGTTACCACCACAAACATACCGCAAAACATCTTTATGATGTGTGACACAATCCAACAATTTTTTATTAAACTCGTCCTTTTCTGGCAGATTCCTCAAATCGTCGCACAGAATATCACATTGAGTGCCAATAAACATCATCAAAGCGGCCATAAAAGAATCCATGTTCATGTTAGCAGTTGCCAAAAACCAAATACTGACGACTTGACAAATGTACGTAATTTCATAATACGGTGAAAGTTTAATATCGTATGGATACCAAGCTTCCAAAGGTAATCTTCGCTTGTCGTGGTCAAACAAAGGAACAATAGACCAGGAACTCAAAGTACCAGCAACCATGACCCAAAACGATTTGTAAGAAATCCTCCATGCTTTAACGCCGTTTAAAATTAAGTTTATGTGAGTTTCATTTTTTGGGATGAACAAATCACTGTCCAAGTGACCGATCAGTTCTTTTAGCATTCGGATATTTTGAACGAAAAAGTACATTTTTACTAAAACCAGGCAGTCGGTAACTGTTAAATATATGCTTCCTGTTAGCTCCTCTAAGTCTGTGTAAATGAAGAACAGATTCATTACTCTTGCGAAGTTATAGCTGCCCATTATAATTATTATGGAAATGATGGCATGGGTAGTGTAGGCACTAAATTTATAAGAATCACAACCAATGGGCCAGAGGCCTACTAATCTTAAGAAAAAAAGATTTGCTCCTATTTTATGTTTACTGTTGAACTTGGCTAGTGTGGACATATTTTTGGAGTGATTGGGTCACGCTGGTTGAATTGAAAAGACTGAACTTGCTCTCTTAATTTTATAAAATCCCTAATTACTGTTCTCATTATTTATGAGCTTAGTTCTCGAAACAAATAAAGAGCAGCTAATAAATAAACTAAGTTATAATAACAGATTATTGACGAGATAAAGTCTGTTAATTGGCAGTTTTCAAATGATAATAGTACTTTTTAGGAAAGTAATTTTCATCAAAGATTAATCGAAATAGGACGAAAGAACAAAAATGTGGGTTAACTTAATGAGCGGGTATTTACCACATTTAATAAAAATTGTAATTAGACGTTGCAGGCAATATTGAATATTTAATGCAAACTTTTCATCCCAGAAAATTTTAGTAACAGTGGTTGTGTTTAACAGAGATGATGTTTTTTTCCACATATCAAAAAAATTGCAGATATAAGATTCCTAAAAATGTACAAGAAAAATTATGATCAACAACTTTCGTGCAATTGAGAATTTATGCAAATTGAAAATTATATCTTGTTATTAAAAAATTAACGTGGTGTAAAACGTTGACATAACTTGTGTATTTGTTTTAGTACTTGTTTTCTCACTTACGTCATGAAAATGTTGAGAATAGTCACAGTGGTTGGGTAACGAAAATTTGATGATCGCTACAGACATTATGGTACTTGAAGATAACAGATACAAGTGAAAATTGTCTACTGACTACATTTTGCAGTAGGATTACAATCAGACATATTTTGCATATTTTTTTGCAATAATTGTAAATTAATTGTCAATGAATGTTTCAATGTGTAAACGTATTATTTAATATTTATTCGTATTTTTAGTTTTAAAAACTGCCAATTTTAAGAAGATGAATTGCATTGCAAGATTATTAGCACCAAGGACGGCTTAAAATAAAATTTGACATCATATTTATGTAAAAAAATGCTTTGTATAATTATTGATATCAGAAAATTAGGTCTTTATCTACAAACAAGTTTGCTGCTGTTGCAAACAAGTTCAACTGCACAGGTGAATATTTGTTGCATTATAAAAAAAATCTATTGTTACATTAACAATATACTAAAGAAAGAGCATAAACTAAATAAAAATAAAAAGCGATCAGTGCTAAATCGGGAGTTCCGTGTATATTTTTAAAACAATACGTCGGGTTTCTTAAGTTTGTTATTGTGATTTATCAATACTGGCACTAATCATAGAATTAATTGCACTGATAATAATAGCAAGAACTAGATTTTAATGGATATGACTTAGTAGATTAATTAAAAAAATTGTCACTGGGAAATTAATCCTACAACGACAACCTGAATTATAATTATAATATAAATTATCTCAAAAGCAAAAATAATGTTTTATACAGATAAATAGAAAGAAAAAAAAACTGATAATTTAGAAATAAAATTGGTTACATAAAATTTTGTTTTGAATGGAAATAAAGGACACATGACTAAATGGAATTGAAAACAAAGTAAAAAGTACGAAAAACAAAAAAAAATCCAAATAAATATCACTTAGTCGGAAGCTCAGGAATTCACTATTAATTTAATGGAAAACTTGATTCTCAAATTTACTATTGTAACATGTTCAATGTTCATATAAATCATTAAGCGCGTTGTCCTTGATATCGCCATAATTTTTAGAAATAGAAAACAAGTTACATAAAATTGTATGACTCTTTGAGTGGCAAGAGTAGCACACATTAAAATTATTTTCGATTATTATTTAGAGTACCTACATATTTTGGATTCGAGACACTGCACACAAATTATTTTTTTTAATGTAATACATTATATATTTTTCATAGTCTTATTAGTACGTTCCTAGGTTTATGAGCAAAGTTTATTTTTGAAATTCCAATGCGACGTTTCCACGTTATATCAATTTTCTTGATATTTTCGAGCAATGCAAGAGGTTTCGAAAAAAATCACAATTTTATTATTTTTATGAATCGCGTTTTAATATTTTACACAGAGATAAACAGCGGTACGTCTTTTGTTCTAATATTAATTAAATTAAATTTTAATATACACAATGCTTATAAAAATAATTCTAAAACGTATACCGGTGTGTCTTAGAAAATCTTAACAACTATCAACCTTAAAGATAGAAAATATTTTTTTTAACACTCTGACATTAAAACTCAATTTTAAATTTCCGTTATAAACTCCGTGAGCAAAAGAAGCAAAAAAAAGATTTATAAGACATTACTCGTCTCTCTCTATTTTAAAGAACTTTTGAAATATACTCAACGGAAAAAAGAAAAACAAAAATTGAGGAAATGAAACGATAAACTTTGGTTCAGATTCTCGTCATCTTCAGAAAAATGAAACAATTAATTTTTTTCGTAACTCTTACCGAAATAGAAACCTTAGTGTAACCTAAACAAAAATTTATGAAGGACTAGTTCAATAAATTTCTGTCATCTCTCAATTGCCACACATTTGAGGAGGTTCTTTATTCATTCAGTATCAAATTCGCAGTATTTTTTAATTTTTGAGTTTATTTGATTTTGAAGTAGACCACATATTAGAGAAGTGTGCTAGAAGGCTGTTGAAGGAAAATAATTATTATCACATCCAACCTAAATCACGTTTTCTCGATAATTTCTTGGAATGACGACATCATGTGTATGATGGGGATAAATGTCTGAACTGTGAATTGGATAATGTTGGGCTAAATAAAATGTGTTCTCAGTAGCAAGGGACATATATCAAAATTTTTAGTGAAAGTTCAATGGTTTTCGAAGAATACATTGTGTTATATGTTTCGGTTCAGATTTCTTTAACAACAGTTTAAGTTGAAACGATTATTTGCAAAAAATTTTTGACGTCTTCAGCATTCCTGTAAAGTATGCTTTAAATTTCGACGTAATTTTTGCGTTCATTTTGAAGATAATCTTTTTATCAAAATTATCAATATTAATAGTTTATTTTTGTTTTCGGTGCTCTGAGTGCTACGAAAAAAGTAAGTGTATTCGAAATGCATATTATGACATTTTCATTAACAAAGTAATTTTTGGGTAACAGAAAAAATTCTATCTATTTTCGCTGCAACTATGCAACTAATAATAGCAGTTTTATTCTTGGCATAATGTATTTCCTAAACAAAAAGTAGTTTTAAAAAACACTGTGTAAAAGTTAAAGACGGATTTATAAACCACAAAGATCGGAGTATGCTATTTTTATGAAATTTAAATACTATTCACCATATAAGATTTTTAGGTGATGCTATCAAATGATAAGGCAAATTTTGCTTAGAGTTCAACCATCCTCAGGATGTTCCTGCAACAACAATCGGCCCAATAGTTTCGGAGATGACAGACATACGAAACGGGATATTGTTTTATTTTAATTTGCATTTTTTTTTTGGAAACATTTATTTTCGTATGAATAACGGATAAAAACAGTTAGAAAAACAATTATTTTGATCATAATGAAACCGTTTGTGGAAACATTGGTTTTAGAACTTGGTGCTTTATCCTAATTTATAACATTTCAAAAAATAAGTCAGGTTTTTCTTTTATTTCTTGTAAGTTCCTTATACTTGAAGTAGGTGACAAAAGCAAAGGAGAGGAATAAATCCAATTTAAATTTTTTTTTCGAAACTACTTTCGATGTTACATAATACGAGTACTTTTAACATAATATATTTTGAGTGGGACTTACATTTAATTATACGACAATTTGCCATTTTTTTTCTTAATTTATTGCAGAATTTGTTTAATTTCCTGAAATAATTTTGAAAATATTTATCGTAGGCTGATGATGAGTTCGTTGTTTTTTTAATGATGGGTTTTATTTAATTTTTCACCAAATTTGTATAATATAGATTTTGTGTTATTGTACCCAGAGAACAATAACAATATACGACTCCATTGTAGACTTGTATTTTGTGGTTTAATAAAAGACATAATAACTTCAAAAATATTGCAGTAACATGATTATAATTTACACTACTGTGAATAGTTACATTTTTTTACAAAAATATGCAATTAAATATATTAAAAAATTTCAGAGTTTTATTACATCTATCTCACCTTAATCTCCACTTCATTTCCGAACCAACAATACAAGAATAACTGTAATGCCATTCCAAACATGTAACTCAACAATGGCAGACTTTCCATGCTAACCGGATCAACCTTATGGCAAAATATTGTACAATTCAATTTTTTGAACGACACTTTTACAAATCAAGCTTACCAAAGTTAGCTGAAACATACTCAGCGCTATAGCCAAGGAACTTGTAAAAAATTGCGCCAAAATTATAGCATTGTAACTTTTATTGCTGTCTTCCGCAAAACTGAAATTTTTTGCCAATTATTTACACACCAAAAAATGTATATTTTTCGCATACCTCAAAATTGTTCTGTGACGGATCACACAGTCTACTAATTTTTTGTTAAATTCAGTCTCATCTTCTCCTTGTTTTGTCACCAATTTGGGAAGATATTTTAAATCGTCACACAAAATGTCACACTGTGTTCCTATATACATCATTAAAGCTGCAATCAGCGAGTCCATGTTCATATTAGCAGTCGCCAAAATCCAAATACTAATAACCTGACAAACGTAAGTGATTTCGTAGTTTGGTGAAATTTTAGTATCATATGGGTACCACGCTGGTACAGGCAACTGTCTACTGGGACCCGTCAAAGGAGAAACCGTCCACATAAACAAACAAGTAAATACAAGAGTCCAAAAGAGCCTGTACGCAACAGTCCAGGCCTTCAAACCACTATAAACCAGCTCTATTTGATGCTGATTTTTTGGTCGAAACAAGTCGCAATTTAATGTCAATATTAATCGCTCAAGCGTTTTCACGTTGCGAATAAACACACAACTTTTTACTAAAACTGTGACGTCTGTGACGGTCAGATAAATTGTTGCCGTAAGCACTTGCAAATCTGTGTAGACGTAGAAGATGTTCATCACACGGAAGAAATTATAAAGACCCATGATGAAAACTGTGACGACGAATGTGTAAAGTCTGTAGAAGTCATTACCGGAGGCGGGCCATAAACCCACTAACTTTAAAAATAGCAGATTTTGTTTAATTGTTAACGTGTAGTCGATTTTTACCATACTGTTAGCACTTTTTTGTCTAAACGTTTTACTGTTTAATTTACCGGTCGTATGTTTAAGCTCGCGACGGTTTGAAATGAAAATGAATGCACTTGTTATAAGTGAAAGTAAACAGGGACATTTTATTGATATTTCTGGTAAAAAAATATTGTGGCCTGTAATTTTGGGTGGTTTTTCTATTATTCATGTTTAGCTTAGCCACCCATCTAATAATTATCTGATAAAAATTGGTGCAGAGTATAATTTTACCAATTAATTATTATACACATAATGGATTCGAATTTCAAGTATTTTGGAGCACGAATTTAATATAAACTTTTAATAAACAGGTAGAGACTCAGGTAGCGATGATAATGAGAGCTTTCATGCTTTAATTCGTTCAAATATAGAGAAATTGTAAATTAAATACGTTAGTGGATTTATTTCACTGCAAGAAACGAATGTTTATATAATATACGAGTATTTACTATTGAACTTGTTGTTAGTATCTTTGTACAGTGTGCATAGTTTAAGATTTAAAAATTATGAAATTATTACTGAATCATTATAAATTATTATTACTCGAACGAACCTCAGTTTTTGTAGGTTGTCTTTGATTACCGAATACGTGGAAATGTCAGACCTCGGAATTTAATTTAAACAGAGAAAGACTAGACAACTAAAGGACTAACGAGATTGATAAAACTTACGCAAAATATGCATATATTCATTCATATAATGATGAATGTTTATTATAATTTTACACAATAGTTACCCTTAAAAATAATTTCAATTTGACATGTGTTACTTGTAAAAATGGTGCATCTAAGTGAAAACATTGCGAAGATTTAATGAAACTGGAAGTGTTTAAGAACTTTCACAACCTGGCAGGCCAGAAACTGCTACAAATGATGAAAATGCCCTTATTGTAGTCTTAGGCGCTACAGAAAATTCCAAAACGTCAGTGCAACACCACAATGTTAGTAGAAAATCAATTCAAACAGCAATGAAAAAGGAAAAGAGTCACCCATACAAAATCCATGTGGTACATACGAAAATGATTTTGATCGTAGAGTTAAATTTACCGAAATTATTATGAACAGAAAAAAAAAACGGAAATTTTATCAACATGATTTTGTTTGTTTCACGAATCTACGTTTTGTTTAAATGATCATGTGAACACACAGAACTGCAAGTACTGGTCTGGTACAAATCCATACTGGATGGAACAATTCCACACACAGCGTCCAGAAGAACTGAATGTTTGGTGAGGTATTATTGGTTACCATGTACTTGATCCTTTTTACATTCATGGGAATTTAAATTCTGAGCGATACTTAATACTGTTGCGAGTACGCATACTGACTAGACTTAGAGACTTCTTTTCCAATTACCAACATCCGGAATTACCAGCAGAAACTATTTGGTGTCAACAAGACGGTGCTACACTCCATTTTGGACGTCAAGTGCTACAGTACTTAAATGAAATTTTTCCTGGTAGATAGATAGGCCGAAGGGGTACTATTGAGTTGCCTGCCAAGCCAACGGATTTGACACTGCTTGACTTTTTTGTGGGACTATTTGAAGAATCGCGTTTATGTTAATAGACCGATTCACATTGAAAACGCATAGGTAAGGAAATTGGTAGCATTCGTCCTGAAATTGTCATTAACTGACTGCAAAGTTTTAGCGTCTTTTTTACTGCCAAGAAATAAATGCAGAGGAGAGCATTTTGAGCATTTTTTGTAGAAAACACAAGTTTAATTTTGGTTTCGGTTGTTATTGGTTAATTTATTTATTGTTTAATATTAATTACAATTATTAATAATTATTAATTTATTTAATTATTGTTTAATAATTTATTTTGCCATTTCAATGAGAAAAAAGTATGATTGTGGTTCATGAATGAATTCAGAAAAAAAGCTTACACATAAATGCGTTAATTATACCAGGTGTCTGGAAAATTGTGGATTAACTCTCCGCTACGCTTTTAACAATCAACTGATGAGTCTGGGAAAAATAGTAAAAAAAATCTTTCTCACGTTTTGATGGAGTTATAATGATTTTAAAATTCGTTCTTTTGCTACGTTTCACAACTAAACAATTGATTCATTATCACAATAACTAGTAATAAAACTTTTAGTTATTATTTTTCTCGTCCATGACCATGTGTAATTACCATTTCAGTTAGAATGCACAAAGATATGGTTGTGTTGTTTTTGTAATAATTTGATAAAGTTCCATTTGACAACAATGTTTCCCTGATATAAAGCGAGGGTGAATTTCAGTCACCATCGTTACTAAGAAAGGTATTCACGCATTAGGTGTGAGCAGTGTAGCCAAATTTACTTTTATGAAATTAAGTTTTTTTCGTAATCTACACCATAAAGGATTTTTTTATTATTTTCTTGGGACTCCCGAAACCCCTGTATGTAACCTACTGAAGAGTGAATCCGCCATTTTCCAGACACCCGGTACGGTAGCGCCATTTTAAAAAAATCAAGCTGGTCTGGCACCTCGAAAATAAATTAAGCAAAAACAATTTTTTTTGACTAATAATTAGAGCACAACTTCTTCTATCCGTATATCAAATTTCAGGTGATTTGTACAATCAGTTCTCAAGATATTTAACCGTTTCTATACATTCTAGCGACATTGTACTCGTATAAGTTTTAATATCCAGATTTCTATTAGGTACTTTTTTATTTTAGTTTGTTTTTGTATTTTTTCTTGAAACTAGTGTGAATGATATATTTTGCCATGCAGCACTGATCAAAACAGGTCAAAACTTTTACTGGAGAAACATTTATTTTGATAATAATCAAACCCTCATTTTACATAATTTTAAACACAAAAAATAACTTAGGTTTTTCTTTTATTTTTTGTAAAATCCTTATACTTGAAGCGTGTGACAGAAGCGTGAAAGGAGAGGAATAAACGCAATTTTAAAATTTATTTCCGACTACTTTCGATTTAACAGTTACACAATATATTTTGAGTGGGACTAATATTTATTTCTCTTGTTTTAAAAGATTGTCTTTCAGTGTGGATCTTGCCAAATATTACTTTGTCTTACATTTATTCCATAATTTACTCAATTTCCTTAAATAATTTCTAATAACGAGATCCTGATTTTTTAAGGGTGAGTTTTATTTAATTTTTCAACAAATTTGTTATATATAGTTTAATAAATGACATAATAACTTAAAAAAGTTTGCAGTAACACGATTGTCATCTACATAACTGTGAATAGTTAAAAAAAATGTTTGCAAAATGTTTAATCAGATCAATCTCACCTTAATTTCCACTTCATTCCCGAACCAACAATACAAGAATAATTGTAATGTCATTGCAAACATGTAACTCAACATTGGCAGACTTTCCATGCTAACCGGATCAACCTTACAAAATATTGTACAATTTAATTTTTTGAAACGAAATTTTTACAAATCAAGCTTACCAAAGTTAACTGAAACATACTCAGCGCTATAGCTAAGGAACTTGTGAAAAATTGCGCCAAAATTATGACGCTGTAACTTTTATTGCTGTCTTCTGCAAAACTAAAAATTTTTTCCCAGTTAGATAGGAACGAAATGTATATTTTTAAGCATACCTCAAAACTGTTCTGTGATGAATCACACAGTCTACTAATTTTTTATTAAATTCAGTCTCATCTTGTTCTTGTTTTGTCACCAATTTGGGAAGATATTTTAAATCGTCACACAAAATGTCACACTGTGTTCCTATATACATCATCAAAGCAGCAATCAACGAGTCCATGTTCATATTAGCAGTCGCCAAAAGCCAAATACTAATAACCTGACAAACGTACGTGATTTCGTAGTTTGGTGAAATTTCGGTATCATATGGGTACCAGGCTGGTACAGGTAACTCTCTACTGGGTCCCGTCAGAGGAGAAACCGTCCACATAAACAAACACGTAAATACAAAAGTCCAAAAGAGCCTGTATGCAATAGTCCAAGCCTTCAAACCACTACAAACTAACTCTTTTTGATGCTGATTTTTTGGTCGAAATAAGTCGCAATTTAATATCGATATTAATCGATGAAGCGTTTTCACGTTGCGAATAAAGACACAACTTTTTACTAAAACTGTGACATCTGTGACGGTCAGATATATTGTTGCCGTAAGCACTTGCAAATCTGTGTAGACGTAGAAGATGTTCATCACTCGGAAGAAATTATAAAGACCCATGACGAAAACTGTGACGACGAATGTGTAAAATCTGTAGAAGTAATTATTATCGGAGACGGACCATAAACCCACTAATTTTAAAAATAGCAGATTATGTTTGATTGTTAATGTGTAGTCTAACCTTTCCATACTGTTAGCACTTTTTTCTCTAATCGTTTTGTTGTTTAATGTCCCGCTCGTATGTTTAAACTCGCGACGGTTTGAAATGAAAATGAATGCACTTGTTATAAGTGAAAGTAAACAGGGACATTTTATTGATATTTCTGGTAAAAAAATATTGTGGCCTGTAATTTTGGGTGGTTTCTATTATTCATGTTTGGCTTAGCCACCCATCTAGTAATTATCTGATAAAAATTGCTGCAGAGTATAATTTTACCAATTAATTATATCTAAAGATGGATTCGAATTTCAAGTATTTTGGAGCACCAGGTAATTGAATATAAAATTGAAGCTAAACTTTTAATAAATGGGTAGAGACACAGGTAGCGATGATAATGAGAGCTTTCATGTTTTAATTTGTTCAAATATAGAGAAATTATAAATTAAATAAGTTAGTGGGTTTATTTACTATTGAAAGTGTTATTAGTATCTTAGTATATTGTGCATAGTTTAGGATTACTACTGAATCATTATAAATTATTATTACTCGGATAAACCTCAGTTTTTGTAAGTTGTCTTCG